TCCCCCAGTGAGGGGCTGGGGTGTGGCTCAGTGGTAGAATCCCTGCCTAGATTCCCCCAGTGAGGGGCTGGGGGTGTGCTAGTGCATCTCCCTGGCATAAGCCCTTCCCTGGCTTTCATTCTCAGCACCTCCTAAGGAAAATCCAAGCCATGTAGGGTCTTGAAAGCTATGCTGAAAAGCCTGCCTTCTACCTGAGGCACTCAGGAGCCACAGCATTCGAGCAAGGGAAGAACAGGGCCAATTTTGCAATTCAGAAGGACTTCTCTAGTCTGCTGAATGGTTTCAGGGAACAAGGCTGAAGGCAAGGGGAACAGAGAGGTTGGGCAGTAACACTATAGTTGATACAATGTCTACAGGAATGTCACTTAAAAAAAAACTGAGCCAGGTAAGCAACTGTCATTTCACTTTGTGGGTCCCCAAATACACACAAGTTAGTGGGTCCCAAATACACGCAAGTTAGACAATGTAAGGCATCATAGACCAATGGCCTATCGGTGGTGGCAGATATGGAAAAAGCCAGCAAAGACGGCCAAGAAAGCTACTGAGAAGGCAGCAGAGGCCACAAGGACTTTTCAGCCAAAGCACCATGTCTGGTTTTTACGTTTGTCTGTTTTTTTCCAAAAGCAACGGAACGTCAGAATCCTGAGGGTACTACTGCTAGATGCCAAGCTCAGCCTCGTGAAGGGCTGCGCTGTTCTGGACCCTTGGCACACTCTGATGAGGAGCACCGAGAATGCTGCAGAGATATAGTCTCACTTCTGGAGTGTTCATAGAGCTGCGGGAGGCTTCCGTCTTTGACACCAGTTTTGCACACCTCAAACTCTCCCCAACCACCAGGCTGAGGAAATGACTATTTGCTGAGCACAGAGGTACAGGCAGTGAGATGAGGAGTCTGGGGCCAGCCCAATTTACATAACAAGATTGTCTCAAAAAGAGGCAGGGTAAGGTGCAGCTCAGGTGGTAGAAGGCTTGCACAAAGCACAGACTTCTATCTCCAACACCACAGAAAGTGGTCACAGGGAGAGGGAGAGAGAGAAGATCCTGAGGAAACAGAGCTCTGGGCTTGACAGACTTCCAAGCCCAGGGCCCTCCCCTCTGGCGGCCTCACCCCCATGAAGACTGGTCACTCACAATCTTCTCATAGTACTCCCGACGCCGCTCTGCCCTCTTCTTGTAGTCCACCATCATGCCTCGGAGTTTTCGCTCATGCTTCCGAGCCTCGTGCCACATCGTGGTGAGGCCTCTACCTGAGGGTTGAGGACACCACACGTGTCAAATGGACCGTAAAAAACGCAGGGCATTGTTACAGTCCTCTAACAAGGTGGTGTCGTATCTGATGTTAAATCCCAAGTCCCCTGGCTACGACAGAAGCTCTGCTGCGAAGTGCTGGGGCTGTGGCTCAGGCACTATGAGAACGCCCTCAGGTGACCCAGTGAGATCCTCCCCGAGAAAAGGATGATCCTAGATTCTGTATGATAAAGTCCATATGAAAGCCTGTAGAGTAGGGAGCCCTCGGAAGGTTGATACAAAATCGTCTTGAGTTCAAGGCCAGCCTTGGCTACATTGTCCAGGGTAGCCTACATGTGGAGATCCTGCTTTAATTTAATACACAACAGTACAGAACAAAAACCAAAAAATAACAACTTGGCTTGTGGAGGTGGTGCATGCCTTTGATCTCAGCACCAGGAAGGCAGAGGCAGGTGGATGTCTCATTTTAGGACCAGCCTGGTCTATGTAATGAGTTCCAGGAGAGACAAGGCTGTATAGTGAGATGCTGTCTGGAAAAAAAAAAAAAAAATTCTTTTTTTTTTTGGAATGAAAGGAGTATCTGAAGCCGATCCTGAGCTGCCAGGGCTGGGCTCACAAGAGCCCCAAAGACCAGAGGCAGGAGCTATGCTTGGGGAAGGGGTGGAGGCTGCAGCAAAGTGGTAATATAAGGCTAGTAGAGAGGGCAACACAGCACTGACATGCTGCTGGGGAGTGAGGCCGGGCGAAGGGCGTGGACAGAGGATGGAGATGGTCAGGAGGATGAGGTCTAAAGGAGGGCTGTGAAGCAGACCGGGCATGCAGGCGAAACAAAGACCAGCGGGCCCGGTGGGTGTGCGGCAGGGGCAGAGCTGCGTCTGGGGAGTCGAGTCCGGGCCGAGCCCCAGAGCACGGACTCGGGCCCGAGGAGGGGTGAGGGGCGCAGCCTGAGGCCTGTCAGGACGGAAGCAGGTGGGGCCGCCCTCGGGGCCCAGCGGACAGCCCCGGCTATCCCGGGGGCGCCTCGGGCAATTATGAGGCCCGACCTTCACCGCTCGGAAGTCGGGAGGTCGGGGTCGGACGCCTGCACTCACCGGCTGGTCGCCGCCTCCCACTGCTGCGCTCGCGCGCGCTCGCAACCCGCACCGGAAGCGGAAGTCAGAGGTTGAGCGAAGGAGAGAGGCCGCGCCGCGCAGAGGGCACTTCCGCAGTCGCGAGGGAGGAATCTGGGAAGTGGACATGGTCGTGGGGTGGGGGTGATCTCGTGGTTGGTTCGATTTGTGGGCGGGGCCTAGGGTGGCACTATCTGGGGCGGGGCCTACTGGCCCGGTGGCCTGGAAGCGCAAGCCGAGAAACCCAGCTTTCCAGACACATTTTGTTGTTATTGTTTGTAAAGATATATTTATTTTAGGGGCTGGAGAGATGGCTTAGCGGTTAAGAACATGAGCTGCCCTTGCCAGGGTCCTGAGTTTAATTGCCAGCGGCTCACGACCAGAGTGTGTAAGTGCGGTCCCATGGGATCCAGTGCCCTCTTCTGGTGTGCATACATGCAGAGAAAACACCCAAATGCATAAAACACAAAAATAGAGATCTTTTTAAAGGATTTATTTGTATGTATGCCTGAGTGTATGTAGATGCCCTTGGAAGCCAGACGAGGGCATCGGATATGTTGTGTATTAGTCAGGGTTCTCTAGAACAACAGAACCAGAGCGTGTAGAATAAAATGTGTGTGTGTGTGTGTGTGTGTGTGTGTGTGTGTGTGTGTGTGTGT